TGACTTCTTTATCTTTACACTGGTTCAGGGAAACTGTCAAGTTCATTGTCTCTAACACTTATTTTGAATTCAATGGCTCTTTCTATTATCAAATTTTTGGGGCGCCAATGGGGTCCCCAGCAAGTCCATCTCTAGCAGAAATGTCCTTACAACTCCTTGAAAATACAATTTTTAAAATTACAATAAACATATTTTTTATTACCGTTATGTAGATGACATTATCACTTGTATCCCTAGTGATGATGTCACTATGATAATTGATCAATTTAATAACGTCAATAAAAAATTAAAATTCACAGTGGAATTGGAGACAATGAACTCGATAAGTTTCTTAGACATAAAACTTATACGTACTACAGATAACAAACTAATAACAAATTGGTACCAAAACCAACTAACTCCGGACGCTACCTTAATTACTTTTCTTATCATCCACTCAAAATGAAAATAGGTACTATAATAAATCTAACGGACCACGCAATACTTCTATCGGACAAAACATTTTGGGACAACAACATCAATTTAATTACAAAAATTTTAACAGATAACTCTTATCCCCTAAAACTTATAAATTCCGTAACTAGTAACAGACGAACGTACCTTTTGAATAAAATGGACAATTGCACAGTACATAACGATTTACCTGACTCAGAAACTCATTCTGGTGTAATATGTTTGCCATACATTAAAGAATTGTATGTTCCTTGGAAAAAACTTTTTTATAAATCTGGACTTCGACTTGTAACCAATTTTAGTACAACTACTAGCACTATTTTTACAAAACAAAACCCCATTTAATATCGAACGACTCAGAAATCTCGTCTATCAAATAAATTGTTTAGACTGTAATTTAATTTACATAGGAGAAACTAGCCAGAACCTCAATAAACGGTTACAACAACATAAAAACAATTCAAAAAACCCCAAACAATTCAAAACTGTTCTTGCAGACCATATATACACTTTAAAACACAATATGGACTTTTCTAATCCGACTATACTACAATTTGAACAAAATTTATTTAAACGAAGAATTATAGAGGGATCTTTTTTAACTATTTATAACATAAGACAATAAATAAACGGAATGAACTCAACACGCTGTGCGACACAAATCTCTTCTATTTAGATAACATTTCCAAATTTCTTACAAAACAATAAAAGCGTTCGCGCAAAGGTTTTACAATTCGTTCCACACATGTGCAGAATCTTGGTAAAATATTTTTTAAAAAATGACTTTCTCCATTACATCTTCAACCAGTCTACGAATAACACTATTCATTTGTGATTTTTTCAAATCAGTATTTTGTGAAAATATTGTGTAATTTCAAGTTAATGTTTATAATACATAGTGTAGTGCATTACCATATCCTAATACCATGGATTATTAAAATTTTCCAATTTAACACTAAGATCAACTAATTGTAAGTACTAATTACTATTTTATTTTTTTCTTTTCACTCCAATTCAATTGTTTTAGTTTTTAATTTTATTTTAGTTTCCACTGAATGAAGGCTAGGATTATAGCCGAAACGTATGGATTTAAAATAAATTTTTGAAAGAAATTCATGTTTTTTATTGATGTTATGCCCGATTATTAGACTTTGTTAATATATATATATATATTATTATATAATATATATATATATATATATATATATATATACAAAGGAAATATATTATCTGTCCCAGACTTAGATGCTTGGTCTGGGTATGCTTAGCTCAATACTGAATGGATATAGTACCGACTGAAACTTCCACTTTTCTCTTGTCCACACAGGAACCCATATTCATGCATTACTTAATTAAAGGAGAGGATCTAGAATGCTATGATTATCTCTTAATTATACTTTCTTCCTAATTAGTGCCATCCATTCCCTTTCTAATTTTCAATGGCGATCTATGCTGCCTCAGATTTCAGCATCACTTATACAAGAGTTTTTGGAATAATTCTTCTTAATATCTCTTCTACACCATCCCGTTGGCCTCTAAATCGCAGGCATAAGAAAACTTTTTTTTGTATGTGTGTGTGTTTGTGTATATATGTCATAATGCAAGTGCGTATACAATCTTGTGCTGACGTTTATGAGAGATTTTAATAATGTTTCGATCTCATACGAATTTTTTTAGGTTCTGTATAAATATTTTAAATATTTAAAGATCACTTTAATGGTTCAAACCAATGCCGTCCACATTATTGACAGTGTAGATCAAACGACTTGAATGATTCAAAAATCATTCGGTTTGTACAGACCGCGCGACGTTCCGGTTAGCCATTTCGAAGGTACGGAGCGCAAAGAGCTAACAATTTTCATACATAAATGTTTTTTGTGATAATCTCGTCACAAAATAAAACATGAATGATAAAATTTACAGTACATATTTATAATAAACTATTTGAAAATATTTTAAACAATTGTTGATGATATTAATGATTATATTGTTAATTAATTATTTATATTCATTATTGATTAGTTTTATTTCTCGAATATTCAATTAATGTTTGGAAAGTTACAGCAATTTGCCTTAGTCATACACTTCTAGTTACATTTTTCAGTTGTTTATGTCCAGTTTAGAATGTTGCAATTTGTGTGTTTGCTATCAATTTAATTTGTCAGAAAGATATAGGAATAATAAATCTCTCTTTTGATAAAAATATTAAAATACTGTGAAAATAACTTGAATTATAATAACAGTTAATACTACACTAGTTGTTGAGACGACTTTTGTATATTTATATCTTTACCTCTTTTAGAATAAAGAATCCGCATATCCAGGATGGCATTTTACATGAAATTATAGGGGATACATTTCAAGATGACAAAATAAAGAAATATAAATATTGGTGATAACTATTATGTAACATGCAATATTTGAAGTATAACAGATCCTATATTAAAATTAGTTACTATCAAATCTAACATTAATATACTTAATTACAATAATTCTTAAAATAAGTGTCAAACTTATACCAAGTAATTTTAATGGAGATTTGTTATACATGTATATCACATAATAGATCTCCGCAATATATAAAACAAAAATCATTTTTAATTCTGTTTTTTTTACTTCTTGATTAATTATGCTGAGGCTAAGGCAATTATTTGAAGAAGTTTGTATTATTGTTTTGCTTCCTTTATTCAAACAATAATACAATCAATATATATTGATGATATTGATGCATCAATAATTTTCCTTTTAACTAACACTTTCCATATACGGATCAATGTCCATATAGAAATCGCACAATTCATTTTTAAGTCTTCACTAAGATTTTTCCAATTAAATGTCACGTTTCTATTGCATGTATTGTGAATTGCTCTTCTTCAATTGACTGGCAATGTGGATTTTATGTCGATTGAGTAAAATTTTACTAAAATAATATTTTATTCTTTGAGTAAAATAAGGTTGTTTTCATTGAATTGGTTTACATTTTCAAAAACATCGATAGCGGCGAAGACGGCTTATGCCAATGTTTCATTTATTAGTTCAAAATGACGGCATTTGCAAAGGATTTTAGGTTCGATACATATTGGAATCCGCGTATAACGAAATTTTTAGCCGCGAATATAGGAATTGGGTCGCAATTTTTTTGGCCGCGAATAGCGAAAACGCAAATGAATGAAGCGCGAATAAGAAACTTCTACTTCATAATATTCATAATTTTATTTCATTTTTTACTAAGTAACAATTGTGTACTTTTACAAGTTAATTTATTCATAGGTTTTTCATGAAAGAGTGAAGGTATTTCAAAATTGGCAACATTCTCAATTTCAATTAACTAAGAAACGTGAAATGAAAGCAAAACTTGAACTATCAGGAAGAAATGATAAACTGGATCAAGCTGGAGTAGAAGTGTTGGAGGTATTCGGCCTTCAGTTTTTTAATTTTGATTTTAAGTACTTTGTATCATTTTATATTTTCATGTTATAGTGGGAATCTAAAGTTATGCGTGGTCAAGAAGAATTTGATAATATATCAAGAATGATTAAAAAGGAAGTTGATTATCTAGAATCAATAAGAATAAAAGAATTTAAAGATACGGTTGTAAAATATTTAGAAGATCATATGGCACACCAGCAACAGGTAAATTTTTGCAGTAAATAATTGTTAACGTTTTTATGCAATTATAATAATTTAAATTTATGTAGCTTATTCAATATTGGGAAGATTTCTTACCACAAGGAAAAGCCGTTGCATGAATTCTGAGCTGTTTATATTGAGAATAGACAGCTGCTCCTACAACCTATGTTTATATGATATTGTATTTTATATTATTATATTATATTATTGGATTTACATTTATTATAAAATATAGTATATACACTATTTCACATGAATGGGTATACGAATGTATGTCCATGGCACATATATATTATTTATATATATATATGCTTGTAATTTCGCTAATGGCTAAAAATGAAATTACAAAATTTGTTTTCTTATATTTAAATAAATTATATATATTTCTATAAAACCATCTTGTTTGTATGTCATTTGATATTAAATTAAAAAAAATGATACTAATGCATAATTTTTGTAGATTCAGTATATGGCGTCCCCTGACATCTAGACATAATTAAAAAGAAACAAAAGTGATCTTTTTTTTATTTTATTTATTTATTGGCTTTTGATATACATCATAAGGCCAGATGCCATTCTTTCAATTGTTTACTACAAATTCTTATTGAATCGTTAACTTATAAATTAATTTTAGTATTATTAATAAAATTAAATATATATTTATACATTTTTAAATTATTACTAGCTACTAATGATTGTACATTGATTGGGAAAATAACATTTTCTTTAAGTAAATTTATTCTATATTTAAGTAATCTTAGTAAACATAATCATCTTCTGTTATATACGTCAATAATATATTGTTTGATCTCGAAAGTTTAAATGTTCGTATTTTCTGATCGAATTAAATCTTCATCAAAGATAAATTGTGTTTTAATCATTTACAAAATAAATATATAGTTCGTAAAACTATATAATTGGTGACCCCTAGAGTGAATTAAAAAAAAGTGAGAAGGAAGTGAAACATGTGCATAATTTACAAGTGACTTCGTGATCGCGAGCAAGAAATATAGCACGTTGGTGAGCACCGATCTCTATAATTGGTGACTTCGAACGCGAATAAAAAACACGTCGATCCAAATATTACGAAAATATATATACAAAAATGTCATTAACGCCTAAACCGACTAAGTAAAGCACAGAAATTACTCATCGATCTGGACAATGATCCTATGACTTGTACGTCACGTGAGGATTATGATGAGTACTCTAAAGCCGATCATATGTATAGTGTAGGAAGGCCGAACATCACTCCGTTTATGGAGGATTGCCCTGAAATTTGGTTTACTCTAATCGAGGCAGAATTTCAGGGTGACAGAATACGGAGTGATGATACGAAATATGCGGCGGTGCTACGCGTCTTGGACAGAAATACGCTGCATCTGATAGCAGACGTGTTACGGAAGCCACCTGCTAAAAATAAGTATAATGCCTTGAAAACAATTATTCTTGACAGAGTGTCCTAATCTAGGTCTAAGACAAATTATTAAATAACATCGCACTAGGTGACAAGAAGCCGTCACAGCTGCTTCGTGAAATGATGAAGTAAGCGACGATATTGTACACAAGTTGTGGCTGGACAGACTGCCACAACATATTCGTCCGCTGCTTCTAATCTCTAATAATGTTGGGCTGCAAGCCATTGGAGAAATGGCAGACAGACTATTAGATGCCTGTGGATCATCATCTGCGATGGCCACAACAAGCAAGCATCAAGATAACAAAACATATCGGACACAAGATATTTTAATGGCATTAGTGCAAAAAATGAACGTACTTACTTTAGAGGTTGAAATTTTGAAGCAGTGTCAAAGAGACAACAATGAGAGCAGGAGGCCCAGGAACTACTCAAGGAATAGGCGAGGTAGGTCAAAAACACCTACCAAATCACATGTATGCTATTACCACAATAAATTTGGAGAAAAGGCCAAGAAGTGCATAGAACTGTGCCTTCTTAAATCACTGTTGAATCCGGAAAACTAGCATCGCCATCAACATTAGGAGCTGCATGCAATGGTGGTGATACAAATTCTGTCTGTTCAGAGCTCCGATTAAGTATAACAGACAGAAAATCCAGAATACGATTCCTTATTGACTCTGGCTCTGTCCTCTCAATACTTCCAGCTAGCAAGTTTGCAACCGATCGTGCCAAGGAAGAGCTTGTTCTGTATGCAGCCAATTCCAGTCGAATATCCACCTATGGAAACTCTTGTGCTGGACCTTTCACTGCGCAGACCTTTCACTTGGCAGTTCACTATAGCAGACGTAGCAACAGCCATAATCGGTGCAGACTTGCTAAGCCACTACAATTTGCTCATAGATCTGAATGGCAAGATATTGATTAATTCTTCTACAGGCTTAACCTCTGATGGGAAAGTTCTGAAAGCTGATAATATCAACATCTCCACAATAGATCCCTAGCAACCGTTCAAGGATCTACTAACAAAATATGTATCTCTCACTAATGAACCACACAAATTAATTATTAAGCAGTCTTCTTTTGCGCACAGAATCTCTACAACAGGTCTACCAGTTGCTGCCAATTTCAGGAAGATTTTCGGTGAAAAAGCTATAGCAGCAAAAGCTCAAATTCAAAATCTCTTAAAGAGGGGCATGTTAAGACCATCAAGCAGTCCGTGGGCAAGCCCTATTCATATGGTGCTAAAGAAGAATGGGACATATAGACTTTGCGGTGACTACAGGAAACTGAATGCGAGCACATTACCTGATAAGTATCCTCCACCATTAATTCAGGATGTTTTTCCAGCATTACATAGGGAAAAAAATATTCTCTACATTGGACCTCGCCAAAGCTTATCATCAAGTTCAGAGGCATGAAGAGGACATTCAGAAAACAGCCATTATAACCTCATGGGGATTGTTTGAGTATCTTTGTATGCCGTTTGGATTGAAGAATGCCACTCAGACTTTCCAGCGATACATAAATCACATTTTTTAAGATATTGGCTTTGTGTTCATATACGAGGATGACATCCTGGTCATGTCTGAGAGTATGGAAAAACATCATCGTCATCTTGAAATTGTGTTTGAGCGACTTCAAGAACACTCACTTGTCATCAACATTGAGAAATGCGTCATGGGCAAGGATGAAGTAGATTTTCTGGGATACAAGCTTAGTGCAAATGGCTATTCTCCATCAACACACCGAGTGGACAAAATTTTAAACTTTCCACAAACAACCACAGTTCTGGAACTACGCAGGTTTCTAGGAATGGTGAATTACTACAGGAAGTCAGTACTAAAGGCAGCAAGAATACAATCACCATTTAACAATTATCTACGAAGTTCAGTGAAGCAGGACAAAACTCCAATTGTCTGAAACCCCGAATCTCTTAAGGCTTTTGATGACATTAAGAAAGCACTTGCAAATGCAGCACTACTTCGATATCCAGATACTTCAGCCAACATTTGCTTGGTGACGGGTGCCTCTACAACAGCTATAATTGGTGCTACACTGGAGCAGGAAGAAAATGGTGCCTGGCCACCAAGAATAAATACAATAGAAATGCCAACGAAACTGTCAGCTGAGGAGATAAGCATTGAGCAGAATTTGGACCCAGAATTGAAAATATTACGTCATGGAGAAACATCATTGAAACTCCATAAATTGACATTGGATGGTTTTCCAATATATTGTAATATCGAATCTAATTTTGTTAAACCATATCTTCCACAGAAACTCCGCAAAACTGCATTTGATGTAATACATGGTATTTCTCATGCAAGCATTAGGACTACATCCAGTGAAGTCCGCAAACAATTTGTAAGGCCTGGAATTGGAAAGGATATTACTACTTAGACTCGCCAATGCATCTCCTGTCAAAAGTCGAAAGTCCACAAACATAACCGCTTCAATTCTATGCGCATTCCTTTACCAGATGAAATATTGTCTCACATCCATATTGATATCATTCACTTACCAAATACTAATGGCCAGAAGCTATACCACTCAGAGATATCACAGCTGATACAGTCACATAAGCGTTATTTTTGTGCTGGATTTCAAGATTTGGAACTCCAACAACAATAACTTCTGACCAAGGCACAAAATTTGAGTCTGCTCTATTCAAGTCTTTGGCAGTTGGAGCGAAGAAGATAGAATATTAAAAGCTGCTCTGATGTGTTCCACTGAACCGTGGATCAAGATACTACCTTACGTGCTACTTGGTCTACGAAACTTATAAGGAAGACATAAAAGCATCACCAGCAGAAATGGTCTACGGAACTACGTTGAGAATTCCAGGTGATTTTATCAATGTATTTGATAACTCAACAAATCCACAAGTATTTTTAGATAATCACCGCCGAATCATGTGAGCATTAAAACCAACACCTACTGCTCATCACAACAAGGGCAAAATGTTTATTTTGAAAGATATGGACACATGTATTCATCAGGGCAGATCATGACCCACACATGTATTCATCAGGGCAGATCATGACCGGAAGCCTTATGAAATTCTAGAGCGAGTTACTGACCGGATCTACAAACTCCGCATTAATGGGACTGAAAAGAACTTCACTGTAGAAAGATTAAAATCCGCTTGCATTAACAAATCAGATACTGATTGTGAATCAGATTCGAATTCACATCACAGACCATCAGCAACGAAACCAACTAAGAAGACTCTAAAAAAGAAAGTTACGTTTAACATATGACGTAAAATTAACTTTTCTTTTGACAAACAGCCATCAATTTTTATTTTAGGGGGAGTACTATGGCGTCTCCTGACATCTAGACATAATTAAAAAGAAACAAAAGTGATCTTAGTAAACATAATCATCTTTCGTTATATAAGTCAATAATATATTGTTTGATCTCGAAAGTTTAAATGTTCGTATTTTCTGATCGGATTAAATTTTCATCAAAGATAAATCGTGTTTTAATCATTTACAAAATAAATATATAGTTCGTAAAACTATAAGTATGTAGACATTATGAATTTATTAGATAATCCATCAATCTTTGGATGTAACAAATTGTGAATAGCATGTAAAAGTTGTATAATCTTTTGATTTTAAGAAACAGCTTATATCTACATTTCACCAATAGAATGTTAGATATTTATTTTATTATGTATAAATAACTAGTTGAAAGTGGCATTTTGCCTTAAGGTAAGTTGCACAAACTTCCCGAAATGTGAAAAATTTAGATAAAATTTCCAACTGTTCTTTTTGTTGATGTTGATAAAAGGCCTAATTTTGACAAACGCCAAAATAATGCCTATCATTTTTTTGAACT